AGGGGAAGTTGTTGTCAGTGTGACGTGGTCTAAACTCACAACGCTACAGCTGGGGCTGAAGTCAAAGGTGGTCTGAAAAAAAAATGTGACCTGGGATTCTAGAGATACCTCCTACGAATGGCTTTTTAAAGCGTTTTTTTAGAAACAGCAATTTTAGGCAGCCAGTTGTGAAGAAAATGACCATTTTGTACGCTAACGCCAGACGATTTCTCCAGACCCCAAGAGAACAGCTTGGTTGTGTAAAAATGGTCTTCTGCGGAACATCCTACAGGACATAAGCCTTATTTATCGTGACCCGTTTACCTTGAGACAGAGCTTCAGCCCATAAACTCTTTATGTTGCAAGGCTGTATAGCCATGCTGAGGAATACTTATAAGTTAGATGCAGGTCAACCAAGGCCTAAGAGTTCTCAAAGAGACCTGAAAAAATACTTGTTACTACTAAAGAGACGGTCAAGGCAGGACTGACCACAGGATGTCACTCTGACCTGCAGCTTCAGCCCAATGTTAAATACGACCTGTTTGTCAATACATGGTATATCCTAAAATCCTTACAAATCCTAAAATCCTTGGATCCTTACAATCCAAGGAGTAGGTCAGATAACAGTTTTCCCCCCAAAAAAGTATATGATGCTACTCCATGGTAGCAACCCCTATACTCACACATGAACTATTTCTTTTCAAGAACCAAACCTGGTGCCTCTGAGGTGCTACTGTTCAAGAATTGTTGCAGGTCCAGGAAAACTGGAAGCCAGCTCCATCCTGAATTTCTGCAGGGTTGTTGTATAAACCAAAGTCAAAAGCCCCTGTAACCAGCCCACTGACAACAGGTGCTGTTATCTCAGGAATGGAGGCTTGGGAGTCACCAAGTCAATTTTTGAGTGAGTATTAGAACACCCACTGGAACTGATGAGCAAACTATACGTGGTGTAGTTTGGATATGTGAAAACCACGTACTCCTCTTTGACCTACCGCGAGATATCCAGTTCAGATTTATAGTGTCTCTGTGGAAAGAGGAATTGAGGTAAAATCCAGCTAATTCCTCCCTGTATTGCTTTTTTTTTTTTTTTTTTTTGACCTTTTGAAGGCTTTTCAGTTGCATCCAGTTTCCCACCTGCTGGGGTTCTGTGCAGCCGCAGAAGGGGAATCTTCATGAGCAACTCGTGGGAAGAAATCCACAAGGTTGCTATAGGACTCACACTGGTTACCAGCTGATGCAAACTATGCCAAATTCCCCTGCTCGGGAGTGTAAAACATCCTCTCCCCAGAGCCAACAGGGTAGGCTATGGCACTGTTCAAAGACGACTTAGCGAGCCTGATGAACAAAGACAACGCCATCTTTCCCTGCCTTCACGTCTTCTGCAAGAGCAGCAGAACTGCATTTAATGTGCCAGCCCTCAGCCAGTGGTGGGCTCATCCAGAAACAGCAAGGCTGGATCCGTAATCGCCTTCATTGCCATGGTGGTCTTCTTTCCCTCTTTTCCAAATAAGCTGGTTTCCCACAGCAGGGTCCACCCCTTGGCACATGTCCAGCTCTTGAATGATTTTCTTAATGTGTTCTTTTGTTTGCCTGACTGTTCATACTTGCCAAGGGGCTGCAGAAAATCCTGTTTCCTCTCCCTGTCAAAGTCCCCATCACATTATCATGCAGGGCTCCATAACCTGCAGTATTTTTTAAGATGGCAGGTTGAAGGGTCCCATTCAGCACAATAGCTCCAGAGAGACCACAGGGCCCTCTTATGGAGCCAATATGCCTAACAGTGAGGATTTGCCCACCCTCCATGTTATGGTACATGATGGAGCATCCGTAGCATGTTCCATCATCCTACTAACATCTTTTAGTATCTCCTTCGCAACTATCTTGACCAACTAGGAAGTCACTCTGCCCCTTCACGTGACAGCAAATACTGTGAAAACTTAACACAGGTCAAACATTTAACGTCCCACAGTCTTGGGAAGGCCCAATAGATGAAACTTCGTGCTTGTTTTTGACATTGGCTCCACGTTTGTGCTTTGTTTTTTTTTTGTTTGTTTGTTTGTTTTTTGTTTTTGTTTTGTTTTGTTTTTTTTTTTTTTTTCACAAAAAACAAAAACGTTCTTTGCAGGCATCTAGGAAATTGTTTTCCTCCACTGTGCTACCACAGGGTGGAATGAATCTTTCCGACAGAATTCCCAGTGGAATTCTGGTTCATGAAATTGCCAGGGACACTTCTTTCCTGCTATCAAAATTCACTTCTGCTTAGTCTTGGATTATAAAACATACATATGCATTCAGGCACACATATGCACTCACACACAAATGCAGATGTACATCCAAGAAATGGAAATTTAGGATCAAAAAATGTTCACAGATTTAATTGATTTGAAGTTGCAAAGCTTCTGGCCAGAACCCTCCAGCTAGGTAGACCCCAGTTCCCTGTATGTTTCACAACATCCAGAAGTTGACGCATTTACTTACCGTTTTGTGGAACCAGCTACATCCTCTTCTCTATTAGATATGAGTCTAAACCGAGGTAAACGCCTGAGCATTATCAGCTACTGTGATATGGCTGAGCTCCTATCTCATTAACAGAGGGGAACTTTTAATTTTCTATTTCTGGCACAAAGAGAACATGCTCTTTGAAATGTACAGGCCACACCCTGAACTCGCAAAGTAAATATTTGCCAGGGAATCGAAGAACAGGAAGAAGAGAACCAGTGGAAAGGCGGAGGGCCGGCCCCAGCACTCCCGTACTTTCCAAAGGAGCCTCTGGGTACTGAGTATATTTATTTAACCGATCAAAGGTTTTAAATATGTAGCTCAGTAACTGCTCTGGTGATGAAATCTTGGTAGCTCCATTGTAAATTGAAAATTCCCCTGCATGCTTTCTCAAAGCTGACATGAAGAAATCATCTGTAACCATCTGACAAGGCAGAAAATAATTTGCGAGGGAGTGCTACTCAGCCAGGGACTGAAGCCACACGTTCCACGGGAGCCGGTAGTGTTTTTACATAAGAGCTCACAGTTTCCATAAGGTCCTTGTGAATGGCCTCAGCTCAAAGCCCATGTTCCAAGCTCTAATGGGTGGTGTTTAAATACTCCAATATCGCATAAGTTGACCATGCGTCCGTAGAGAAGATTCAGCTGTCCACTCGTTATGCATTTCTGGAGCTACTCCAGGAAAGACTGAGACCGATCATTTATTTAAGCCCATCCGTATCTACTAAGAATCTAATCAGAAATGTTTGCAAAAATTACACACAGAACTGTTTTTTGCAGCACTGCTTAGAAAGAAAAAAAATGAAAATGCCCAAAAGATTATAATTATAAAATGTGATTAAAATAATTATAGGCTATTGATAAGATTGAATAATCTGTTGCCATTTAAATAATTTAAATTCTAAAGCATTTATGAAAGAGGAAATTGCTAGTAACATAATGATAGTGAGAATAGTAGGCCTCAAAACTGTAAATAACATGTTAACTCATTATGGGAAATTTTGTGTGTATTTACACTCACGCATGTAAAAAAAAGACTTGAAGGAAATTCATTGGAGTGGAAACAGAAATTATCTCCAGTAGTAGGTGGTTGTTCCCCCTTATTTTCATATTGTTTCTGTATGTATCAATTTTTTTACAATAACACATCTTGCTTTTCTAATCAGAAAAAAGAAACTCTTTTCGAAACTACATATACAAAGAACCCCATTTCTTAGTATAGGCAGGAATGAATTTAGAAATGCAATTTAAAAAACATATTCATAGTTTTAGTGTTTTCTAGTAAAAATTGCCTTTGAAGGAAAAAGAATAACCTTATTTCTTGGAATATGTCATACCGGGCTTTCATGAAAATATCGAAGTAAGCCTTGAAAAATTTTTACTATCCTCCTAACTTTATTGATAGCCCTAGGAGAACCTCAGTATTATATTACCCGTTGTGTTAGAATTTGCAGAATAAAATAGGTAAACCCTAACTGGAAGTACTTTAATGGGTTAGTAGCTTTCTCAAAATTCAATTGTGCAGTTGCTTGATTAAGGTAGAAAGATGTTTCCATAAATCAATTTTAGAAAAACGGGCTCCTTTGAGGACGAGGGCTAAACCATGACTACTTAACCGCACCACTAGCTCGCTGCGGGACTGGGCCAGCCACTGAGTTCTCTGGGTCTCGGCATCTCCATCAGAAAGAAGCAGTGGGCAGATAGCTGATCTCTAATATCCCTTTTGGAAGTAATATACTCTTGAATGATAAAAAGACATTCTTTTATCGACCTTATGAATTAGCAGCTTCATTTCTACTAAATAAGAAGAAATGGCCATTCACCCTATAACTGCAGGTTTATACCATTTGACTTCCCTCCCCCAACTTTCTCCATCTCCCAGTGTCTGGTAACCATTCTACTCTCCATTCCTACCAGTTCTGTATAGCCTTGTGATTTTAGCCAGCTTATAAGCCAGGTTAACCAGCAGACTAATAAAACTTCCTTTGGTTTCACCATGGTCTGACCCTAAGCAAGCTTCCATGTTGAATATTGTTATTTTTCTTGAATGTGTTACATCACACCATACTAATCATTCTTTTTCTGCTGAAGTTAGGCAAGGTACCTTGACACTTCCAACTACAAACATTACCATTTAAGGCACGTTTCTTTAGAGCTCCCAGGTGCCCAGAGGGAGCAAACCCAATGGTAGAACGAGATAAGCAACTGGAATATTCCTCCATGCCCTCCAGCTGAAGCCAAGGGCTGCCCACCTGCTTGGTCTACATATCAGTTCAGGAAAAGTAAATAAATCATTGCTTTGATAGCTACTACAACTACGTGGGGTGATATACTAGCTTTGGGCTCGTTACCAAAAGGATTCATCAATTTGCCCCTGTCTCACAGACCTTAATCCAAGGCCCTCCTAGGCAAGGGTGTCGGGTGAGTGATGGCAGATGAGTCAGAACAAACTGTGGTCTGTGCTGGACTAACAATCAGTACAACTACTTTAGAACTAACCCAAAAATAGTTATGAAGCTCACCTCAAAAGACACACCCTCCATAATGACTGAGTTCAGCATCGTCTGCAATGTTTCCACTCAAAATCTGAGCGCTGCTGCTGGGTTCCTTCAGTGAAAGATGACAAGTGAAGATCGTCAGTCTCAAACTTCTGGGTCATACAGGCTAAATTTTCTAGAAAATTTTCTCCCACAGATTAGCCAATGGAAGTAGATGATTTTTACCCAAGCTGAAGGGTGAGCAGGACCACTGGGGGAATAAAAAGTTAAGAAACGCTGTAATATAATTTTATGAAATTGTGTATCACACCATGAAAGTCACTGGAGACTTCTCCACCCAAAAACTATTTGGGGTGTTACTAACTAATAGAGATTCCTAATCACTTCTAAAAACATGAGTATTACAAGAACAGGTAACTCTAAGCACCACTGACCCTGAGCGCAGGAAACATCTTCATTTAGGTCTCTTCCTTTCATTTATCTTATTTTGGTATTGCTTCAGCTTTCTCTTGGGATTTAAGCTTATGTTCTCTCTCCTTTTTTCCTCTTTCTGTTTTCTCTCCTTTTCTTTCTTTCTTGCCCACCCCATTCTTTTCCTTATGTCAAATAAGACAGATTTTTACCTCTCTTTCTGCTTCTCTTTCTTTTCTTTTCTTTTTCTGTACCCAAGAATGGTATTCAAGAGCAGAATTTGCTTACTCAACTTTACAAAATGTGCTGGCCCCTGTACTTACTGATAAAAATGTCACTATTTCCTTCCCATCTCTGGCTCCAATAGAAATGTAATAGCTGATTCATTCACACAACTTTTGGAGGTTCAGAATATGTTGCTGGCTTAGACACATAATTTGGCCATTGCAAAGGAAATGTTCGGTTTTCAAGTGAAGGCCACTAAGAAAGTAACTCAGACATGATACTCTCCATCCTTCCAACTCCAAGGACATCTGACTCATGTCAAATGTCATGATAAGTAAAAGAATAAATACAGAAATGTAGAGAATGAAAACTAAAGCTATGACAGCTTTCATTGAAAGAGGAGCAGTGGGGAGGAGACTGAACTTTATACTTTAGCAAGAAAACTTTTTGGAAAAATTGACAAATCTCATCTTTTAGGAATTTTAATTTTGCCAAAATATATAAGTGAGAAATCAACACTAATTTAAAAAAATTGCCAAATACCAGCCCTGGCTGATGTAGCTCAGTGGATTGAACACAGACCTGTGAACCAAAGGATCACGGTTCGATTCCCAGTCAGATCATATGCCTGGGTTGCAGGCCAGTTCCCAGCAAAGGACGCACAAGAGGCAACCATACATTGATATTTCTCTCCTTCTCTCCTTCCCTTCCTCTCTAAAGATAAATAAATAAAATATTTTTTTAAAAAATGGCCAAATACCTCTATAAAATGGGAAGAAAACATTTTAGAGGTGCACATATAAACAGATACAAGTATCTCTTGAACATCTGCCATGTTGTCCAGTTGGCTAGAGAAAGTAGCGCTGAACCAGTCCTCAGAAGGAGTAAGTGCTAGTGTCACTGTGTCACACACTAGCCACGTGGCCCTGACCAAGCCACCACATTATAGCCTCAGTTCTGCACCCAAAGTGCCAATAAATACATACCCAAGTATCACTGAGCAGACTGCAGAGGCAATCAAAATGAAGTGCAAGCTACCATGGCTGATACTGGTTCTACCGTGGTCTGGGGGCATCCAACCTGCGGCCCCAGGGTCTCGTGCGGCCCAGGTTGGCTGTGAATGCAGCTCAAAATGAAATCCTGAATTTACTTAAAACATGATGAGATTTTTTGTGTGATTACATGTCACAATGTATTGAATGTGCAGCCTGAGACAACTCTCTCCCAGTGTGGCCCAGAGACGCCAAATGGTTGGACACACCGGCACCACACTAAGTAAAGGGGTCAACACAAGAAACCATGTTGTTGGTTGAGAAGCTCGTAACTTAGTTGGAAAGACAAAACATATGAATTTAGTTGGGAAGACAAATCAATGAAAAAAAGCGCTAACAGCAAGCTCTTACATAACAACTTATTAGCAGGCACTTTTATAAGTACTTCATGTATATTAATTTATCTGATCATTACAATAACATTATAAGATAGATACTTTATAACATGCTAGTATCATTTCTATTCAACAAGTGAGGAAAGTGCAACAGAGAAACATGAAGTAACTTGTCCAGAATCACAGGTAGTAAGTGACAGAAGTAAGACTTGAACCCAGAAGTCGAGTGGGATGCAGGGGGAAGGAGGGGGAGGTGAGAAGGGAAAGAGAAGAGAGGAGAAGAAAATGAAGAGAAAGAGGAAAATAAGGTTCTAAATTCTGTGTTTCGGCTTTTAAGTTATTCAAGGGGATTTATTCCATGGGAAACCAATGACCTGTTGAAAGCCCACTGTGATGGGCACAGTCAGGGAAATGAAGATATTTTGGAACTACTCTCTGTCCTTAGAAAATTTAGTGATGTATGAAAATATTTAAAATAACATGGTAGGATGTGGAAATCTAACAGGTGACATTTTGTACAAAAGGAGAAATGACATTGTCTACTTTTCTCTCACTAGTATTTCAAAACTTATCTGAGCCTTTAACAAGAGTTAGTGTTTCCTCGGCTCAGAGTGAAAATATGTACTCAAAAGTGTTGGAGGGGGTGTTAAAATAAATAAAACACTCTGGATGTTGGTGCAAAAAAAGATTTTGAAATTTCCTGTATGTAGAAGACCACCTTCCGGCACCTGTAAAAATTTCTTGTGGGGAAAAAAAAGCAAATCACACCCCACTCCTGCCCTGTCATTCCAAAAGAGTTTGCAATCCACCCACAGTGTGACTGACACCATTGGACAGAATTCTCCCCAGCACGTGTGCCATTCTGCCAGCAGGCCTGGCAAGGAGTCCCCCACCAGCTTCCTCCTTGGCATCAACCACTCCTGCAGTTTAGAGACTGCTGATCTTCTTAGTCTTGCCTTTCTTGTGACCTACTTACCATTTCCTGTGCTTCAGGAAGAGACTTGACTTTTAGAGGGGAAAGTTATCTGTCAGCACCCAGTCATGGCTGATACTTGAGCACTTGAACTGAATCCAGTTTGCAGGAGTGATTAGGCAGCTGAGCAGGATCCCACATGCACCATCCAGTCTTCTTCTCTTACTAAGACTGGGAGGATGAGGCTCACAGACTCAAACAGGGATTGCACAGGAGCATCCTAGCACCAGCCCCGGGGCTGTGAACAAAATGAAAGAGGAAAAGTTGGCATGATTCAAAATGAGGATTTGGAGATGAGGAAGAAAGGGAAACTTTGCTTAGAAAATGAGGGTAAAACACCTGTCAGCCTCAGGCTGTAGAGAGAGACAAGAGTGGAGGAAAGAGGGACTGTGTTTGTGTCTCTGAGGACTGCCCCACCCTTCTGAGAGCTAAGCATTGCACCTCCTCTTTCCTACTCCTGTCTCTGAAGGTGTGTATAACTAAGGTGGGCAAGATTCGCCATACAGATTTACAGGCTAGGGGAGACTTTTAGAAGGAGGGAGGGTCCTCACTTGCTGGAGCTCTCTGCCCACACCCCTTGACATACAATGCTATGACCCAGGAAGTATTAAGAAATCTAAAAACCCTTCTTGTCTCTCACTCAGCAACATGGGCACACTGATTCAGGGATTTTTCCCACTGTATCTTCCCTCATTTCTGGACTCATTCCTCCTATTTCCCTGCCCCTGCATGGTCCATCACTGCTGTGAGATGTTTGTGCCCCATTGATCACTCAGGACGTGATCTGAAGTTCCTTTTCCAGTGCAATTTTTGTAATTGGGTGAAATAGTTTTTAACATTGAATTTCTATGAGACTTTCCTTTTTGCACCACATAAGCACCTGTATTGTTCTGTCTTTATCCGCACAATACCTCACAGAAGGTAGAGATTCAGTGAGTGTGGTAGATGAGTGAACCAACTGAAGTCACTTCCTAAGACTCTCAGCCCTCATTTCCCACATCTGTTGGTCACAAATTCTTTTACACACTTCACACTTGGCTTCCAACTCATTCCCCTCTTTCCCACCACAGCTGCCATGGCGTGAGGGCTCAGGACTCTGCATCTGCAGTAATAAGATAGTGAGCTAAGGCAGCCTCCTCAACTCACAGAATTGAAGACTATGACAATGACATGGAGAAACATGTTCTCTGTGGTTCCAGTTGGTTGGTTCTCGAGGACAGAAAAAGAAGATCATGGACTAGTCCACTTTCCCTGGGGGGCTGTTTTTGAATTAAAAAAAAACAAGAAAGGTTATTTTATAGAAGCTTGACCTTAAGGGAAAAAGAAAATATTAATGAAAACTGATGATCAAGGGGTTACACGGAGAATGAGGTGAAGAGTTTGCAGGGGAGAGGTGGCAGCAACAATGACTTTGAAAATTTAGAGAAAGGGAAAAAATGAAAATTAATAGCTCTCTAATATTTACAACTGGTCATTAAGTCCTTCATAGATCCATCACTTCTTCTGAAGACATATCTTCCATTGAAATAAAGTTGGTCTCCTTTGTCATACTAATAGCTGTTCATTAATGTTTTCTCTAAGTAACATTTTACTTATATTAGTTTATTTAATTGTTACAATAACATTTATATTCATCATTCTTTGGGCATATCTTTCTATGCCTCTCTTAAAGAGAGAAATTTGGAAAACTGAGTAACTTGTCCAATGTCACCCAACTCATAACATCAGAGCCAGGACCTGAGCCCAGAACAGTCCAGACCTACAATCCATGCTTTTCTTCGACAGCTGTCTCTTCCACATCAGGCATAGAAGGAGAATGATGGGGGTTATCAGTGCACACCTGACTGTCAAGAATCATGCTAAGTCACCCTTGTCAAAATTCACATGGCTACATTGTAATAGAATTGGAATTTCAATCCTGACCTACCTCATTCCAAAATCCAAAGTTCTTCAACTATTCTGCTTTGACTTCCAACTATTCTGCTTTTGATTTCTTAGCAACCTTGCTTCCCTCTGTTCCTCTATAGCCTTTCCCAGACTTCCACAGGACTGATAGAAGTAAGCCTGTCTTCCATGAAACCTTTCCTCACTACTCTTGCTTTATTATTTTTGTCACTTACTGAAGTTTGCTAGAATACTTGTAAACTGAAGGATTATTTACTTTAATGTGTGAATACCTAAGACCCATGGATGTACTTTAGGATACTCATTAAATCCCAGGAATGGTACATAAATATGTGGTACAGCCAACACAATTTTGAAGGAGAAGAACAAAGTCAGAGGACTGATGCTACCCAACTTCAAGACTTAAATAAAACTACAGTAATCAAGACAGTGTAGTGTTGGTGAAAGAATAGACAAACAGATCAATAGAACAGAGTAGAGAGACTGGAAATAGACCCCCTATTTACATATGTATATAGATGTTACACATACGTATAGTTCATTGATCTTTGACAAAGGAGCAAAGGTAATACAGTGGAGCAAAGATCGTTTTTTCAACAAATTGTGCTAACAACTGTGGACATTCATGTCCAAAACAAAACATACACAAAAATCTAGACACAAACCTTAAACCCTCACAAAAATCAATTCAAAATGGATTATAGACCTAAATAGAAAATGTTTTTGCATCTATAAAGCTCCTAGAAGACAAAATGGGAGAAAATGTAAATGGACTTGCTTACAGTAAAGACATTTAGATACAACCCCAAAGGCCTAGTCCATGAAAGAAATCATCTGTAAATCAGATTTCGCTGCCACTAAAACTCCTTCTCTGTAAAAGATTTGGGATTTCCCTGATGACGTATGATGTGGAGCATCTTTTCATAGGTTAATTTGCTGCCTATTTCTTTTCTAGTGAGCTATCTGTTGAGGACGGTGTTTGGCCAACTTTGAATGGGTTTTTTTTTTGTTACTTTTCTTATTGTTGAGTTTCAAGAGACACTTGTATATTTTGGGTAACATTTATCACATGTATCTTTTGCAAATATTTCCTCTCAGGCTATGTCTTGCCTTCCTATCCTCAACATTGGTTTCAGCACCGTAATGCTGAAGGGGATGTAGAGAACCAGGAACCCCTGTTCATTGCTGGTGGGGATGCAAAATGGTGCAGCTCAGCAGTTTCTTACAAAACTAGACATACTTTTATCCCAAGATCCAGCAACTGTACTCCTTGGTATCTACCTGAATGAGTTGAAAATTTAGGTCCACACAAATCTAGGTCCACACGAAAGTAACCCGCACATAGCTGTTCATAGCATCTTTATTCATAATTTCAAAACTTGAATGCAACAAAGATGCCCTTCAGTAAGTGCATGGATAAATAAGCTGTTGTATATCCAGATAACAAAACAGTATTCAGCAGTAAAACAAGATAAACTACCAAGCCATGAAAAGATATGGAGGAACTTTAAATATGGAGGAACATATTACTAAATGAAAGAAACCAATCTGAAAAGCCTACCTACTGCACAATTCCAACTACATGACATTCTGGAAAAGGCAAAACTACGGACACAATAAAAAGATCATAGTTGCCAGGGTGGGAGGAGTGAATAGGCGGAACACAGAGGACTGCAGGGCAGTGAAAATACTCTGCATGACAGACACTACAATGGTAGACACATGTCATTACACACTTGTCAAAGCTCATAGAAGGTACACCACCAAGAGGGAATCCTTATGTAACCTATGAACTTGGGGTGATAATATCATGTCAATGTAGGTTCGTTGATTGTTAGCAAATGTCCTGCCGTGATGCCGGATGCTGACGGGGGGGGAAAGCTATGCATGTGAGGGCCGGGTGTGCAAGGGAATCTATGCCTTTCTCTCTCAGTTTGCAGGGAATCTAAAACCGCTCAAAAGAATTAAGTCTTTTAAAAATATGTTGGGTCTATGTCTATAGGAGCCTTCATTTTTCTGAGAAGGCAGGTCACAATTTTCATTAGAGGCTTCATTGATAGTATAACAGCCTTGGAGTATTTCTGCAAATCCTTTGCTCGGAAAAAAAAAAGTGCGTATTCTTTTCAATTCCATTCCCCAAGCTCACCACACAAAAAGGGCTTTCAGCTGCCCAGAGTCTTTTCTGTACCACAACGTGGGCTCCAAATTGCAGTTGTTTGCTTTGGGCAGGATTCCAGGGTTTGTATCATTCGAGATGGTAATTTCCCAGCCTTGGCACCACCCTCTTTTATTTATCCCCTTTCAGATAACCACGCTGTGCTGAGTGTCGCTTAACCCTCTCTCCCTAGAAAACCGAACTGATGCACCATTCCCAGGCCCTTTATCCCCAGCAGTGCCCACTCAGCCTGGCTGAGCAGGTAGTTTCCTGGTGCTGGGACCAGAGCCAATCAACTCTGGTGGTTTTTGTCAATTCCCAAAAAGGAAAACCCAGACTTGATGAAAAATGTGAAGGATGTGGACCCATTTTATTCCTGTCATCTATTTTCTATCAGTGCAAATTGGTTTGGAGGGGAGAAGGTTGAATGTTCAAATCCACGGTAAGATTTCAGTGTTGTGAGCAACTTCAGGATTCACTTCCTCAACCCAACAAATGAGTCAGCCTCACACCGAATAGTTTTATAAAAGTCTTAACACTAGTTGATTGCAGAGTCCAGATAATATTTTTCCCAAACCATCTGCACCAGCAACTTCAAGATACACACCTGCTCTTTTCTGACTTCAATCAGTATTTTCCTGATTCCATGTACCCAAGCTTCTCAGCCAGAAAACCGGGAACATGTGGACACATTAGATAGGAGCAAATTTCCTGGCTGGCTGCCTCAGCTGAATAATACAAAATAGACATGCAGACTGTATAGCACCCGGTATGGAAGATTTTTCTGCTCATTTTTCCAAAAGGTAAATTAAGGTGGGCGAGGTAGGAGGGGGTAAAGAGGGCATGACTGATGACGGAAGGAGACTTGACTCAAGGTGGTGAGCGCACCATACAACATATGCATGATGTATGACAGAGTTTTACACCTGAAACCTACATCATTTTATTAACCAATGCCACCCCAATAAAGTTTAAAAGAACAAAAAAGACCAAAGTTATGGACGCATGTAAACAGCACACAACTGAAGATTCGCCAGCCGGCTACACAGCCCGAGGTCTACCAGCCAACTCTGTCCTGGGCCCAGCGGCAGGATCCCAGCTTCTCACCGAAACGCTGCGTCTGCCAAGAGAGCTCCGGTGCAGAAGGTGGGCTCTGCAGTCCAGCGGGCTCCCCCAAA